ATGCTTGCTTGAGCCCATAGATGGATTTCTTAAGTTTGCAAACCATATTCTTTGATTCTCCCGACACAAAGTTATCTGGTTGCACCATATAAATCGTTTCATCAATGTCACCATTTAGAAACACTGTCTTTACATCCATCTGATGTAACTCAAGATCGAAATGCGCTACCAATCCCATTATAGTCCTGAAAGAGTCTTTTGAAGAAACCGGAGAGAAAGTCTCTTTATAATTGATGCATTCTTTCTGTGTAAATCCCTTTGCGACAAGACGAGCTTTATATCTTTCCACATTGCCTCTTAAATCCCTCTTGGTCTTAAATATCCATTTGCAAACAATAGGTTTCACACCTTCTGGCAATGGGACAAGATCCCATACGTCATTGTCCTTCATGGACTTAATCTCCTCATGCATAGCATCAATCCACTTTTGAGAATTAGAACTTTCCATGGCTTGACAGAAGGTGATCGGATCATCTTCCATCGCCCCAATGTTAGCCTCATGTTCTTAAAGAAATACAATGTAATCATCTGGCACTGCATTTCTTCTTTCTCTAGTGGATCTTCTTAATGACATAGGTTCTTGAGATGGTTGAGTTTGTTCTTTAGGAACAGTTATCTGAGCGGGAAGTTCTCCAACATTATCTTGACCTATTGTGTTTTGATCTTGATCAGGAATGAAAACCTAGTCATGTCCAATAACACCTGTGGGAATATCAACATATTCCTCTTCAAAGATAATGTTTCTAACTGTATCTCCCCCTGCAAACTCAACATCCTCAAAGAACCATGCATTTCCTGACTCGAAAATCGACTTAGTTATGGGATCATAAAATTTGTACCCCCTGGATCTTTCAGAGTATCCAATAAAATAACAACTCACCGTCCTTGAGTGCGATTTCTTTTCATTAGGCCTGTAAGGCCTTGCCTCAACTGGACGGACATCCACAAACATGCAAATGCTTCAAACTAGGCTTCTTGCCTGTCCAAAGCTCATAAGGGGTCTTGGTAGTTGCTTTAGTTGGAACCCTGTTAAGGACATAAGCTGCAGTCTTAAGTGCATCTCCCCAGAGTGATTCTAGTAAGGTAGAATGACTAATCATACTCCTTACCATATCCTTAAGCGTTTTTTTCGTCTTTCAGCAACACCATTCATAGTGGGCAAACCTGGTATTACGTATTGTGGGACGATACTGTATTCCTCTAGGAATTTAGCAAATGGCCTTAGACATTGTTCTCCTGAACCGTCATATCTACCGTAGTATTTACCACCATTGTCAGATCTGACGCTTTTAATCCTTTTGCTGAGTTGGTTCTTAACTTCAGCTTTATACTTTTTGAACACATCAAGTGACTATGACTTTTCGTGAATGAGATATAAGTAGTCATATCTAGAAAAATCGTCTATGAACGTTATAAAATATTGTTGACCATTCCATGCAACCGTAGGGAATGACCCATAAATATTTGTATGTATAAGTTCTAAGACGTCCAAAGTCCTGTTAGCTTCAAATCTCCTTTTATTGGTTTGTTTCCCCTTTATACAGTCAACACAAACATCAAAATCTGAAAAATTTCAGGGGTCGAGAATTTTGTTTGACACAAGTCTCTCTATTCTCCGCTTGGAGATATGTCATAATCTTTTGTGCCATAACGCAGCTGAATTCTCATTGGTTAATTTTCTCTCACAAAGCAAACTCAAGAGCTCCTGGTCTTTTATATATCTTTCTCCCCAATAGGTCAGGAAAGAGAGACCCTAAATATGGTAGATATTGAAGATATTATAAACGATAAATGACTGTGATTAAATCTTAAAATCCGTAGACAACCAATCTGCCATCGATGGTGCTTCTCGACCATTGATGTTGACAAGGCCCCATCAATGGTTTAGAAACTCATAGATGATATAAAAGTATCTGAAGTAAAAATCATTGATGATCACTTCTCACCATCGATGGTCAATGCCACCATCGATGTTAGAATGGCCTATATCAGCTTTTGAGCTGATTTTGGCATCGTTTCACCTCATACACTCTTTATACATGCATTTACTTGTACTACACTATCTCAAACTAATATTAGTACTAAATGAGAGTTTGTTATTACTTAAATAAGAGATATTATACGAATTACGTCTGTCAATAATATTCAGTTAAGGTTTTTATGACAAAGTAATTTGTATTGAGAAGTCAATGCTTGTATCACATTTCCTTTTTCATTTTTTAATCTTCTTTAGGTATGCTTCTAGATTCGAGCTATTTCTTATTTGATGCGGGGAAGTTTGGTCGTATTATACGCCTCATGAAATGTCTTCACCTATAAGTTATGAACATAATTGAACTAAAGAACCTAAGAACGTAAGTTTTGAACATGAGAACCTGCCACGCGCTGGCGTGGGCCCCGGAAGAAGTAATCTCTATCGAATTCAATGCGACGGAAATCTGCCGCTCAAGTCGGATTCATTTTACGTCACTTCCTTGAGGCCTAAGATTCAGATCGCATAGGACATTTCCATATGCGGGAGTTGGCATAGAAAGTTTGCTGTGTTAATGTCGTACACGTCGTCTATAGTTAACGGATCTCGTGCAGTACACGCAGTCGGATGATCTACCAGACGTTGATGTTTCTTCAAATTAGGAGTGAAGACTTTTTGATGTTTATAATTACATATATTAATATATTAATAACATATATTAATATATTAATAACATATATTAATAATATTATATAATATTTAATTATATAATATTAATTAGTAATTATAGTATAACATATTTATTATAAACATATTATATTTTTGTATAAATAAAATAACATATTATATTAAATATTATATTATTAAAATATTATATTAAATATATTAATCTTATATTATATTAATTATTATGTAGTATAACATGCTAATATAATATAATAATTAATAGTATTAATTAGTAATTATAGCACACCATATTATATTTTAATATAAATTTAAATAATGTTTATATTATAATAATATACTTAACCAATTGGGTAAGTTAATTTAGAAGTAATTAATAGATTAAATTATATTTTAATAAGATGCCACATCATCAATTATCCCACATGAATTGTTAAATCAAATGCTCAAAATTTCTCATTATCTCACTTTATCCCACTTTGCCCCACTCAAAATATCCCAAAGGGATAAAATTGTTTTATTGGAATAATTTTCCCACCTGATCCTAATTTGTCCCAACCAATAACTCCCCATAAGTTGTTCACTGTTAGAATATTACAATCATTGTTAAAAATCTGTTATGACAGAAATACCGTCTAGAAATAATAAATGTAAAATTCAATAAAAAGATAGAGGGTAGATATAGTGGTAAATATGACAATAAATATGGTCAGTATAAGTACAAAAATACCATGTAATTTTCTAGAAATATTCTCACGTGCAACTAATAGAATATGCTAATATGCTAATTTTTTACAAGTTAAGATATTAAAGCACTATTTTTTTGTAACTAAGGATATTTATGTGTGACTTTTTAAAACTTAGGGTATTTAAGTGTAAATGTAGTGAAACAATAGGGTATTTAAGTGCCATTTTGCCTATATTATCATCTATTGTTACTCTTCAGAAGTCGCTGTTAGGAAACTAATTTCATAAGCATTGGTTAGCAAATGAATTTTCTAGGTTAATTTTAGAAAACCCTTAACTATGAGGGTTATATAAGAAAACCCCATATCTATTTTTGTTTGAGTAAATTCCCCTAAAACTTGCAGTATTGTAGATAACCCCCTCAGTTTAAAAAACTTGACATAACACCCATCAACTTATGGGGTATCTCACAAAACCGTTCAAGATCTTTGCACTTTCCTCTGAAAAATCCTCTGACATTGTTAACTTGAAATATGAAATGATCTAAATATCCTTCTGAGAAGAAAAAAACCCATGTTGGTTAAAGTAAACCTTCCAACTAGCAAAAGAAAGAATTTGAGCGATAGTTGAAGGGGGGGGGGGGGGGGGGGGGCGGGGGGGGTTCCTATCGCTTTTTAGGCAAATGAAAAATTGGTGTCAATAGAGTGCTCTATAGAGGAAGGAGAATATGTGCATATACAGATAGATACATATATTATATCATAGGACTTCAAAACCAACTATGGTTCTATAAAGCTAATGAAGAAGTCAATCGTTTTCAGTATAGGGTTTTGAATAACGATAGGACAAATTTTCAAAACTGACCCTTTTGGATTTTTAATTGTAAAAAAAGACCTATTTCAGTTTTATTTATAAAAACCGACCCAGTTGGTTGAAACTGGGTCGGTTTTTGAAATTTTTTCTTCCAAACTTCACGGGAGTTCAACTCCCGTGAAGTTTTGTTATGAGAAAAACTTCACGGGAGTTCAACTCCCGTGAAGTTTCCCAAAAAAATTTAAAAAAACCGACCTGTTTTCAGCTAAATAGGTCGGTTTTTATAAATATTTTCAAAACCGGTCGTTTTTTGCAATTAAAAACCCAAAAGGGTCGGTTTTGAAAATTTGTCCAATAACGATACTAATGTGGTATTTAGACCCTACATTAGTAATTTCCCCCCCTCCTGACTGGGCCCTTGGTCGAAAGGGAAATAAATTAGCAAAGAAATATACACGCATGCTCCACAAAGAGAGGAGGCTGTCCAAAGTTGCTCGCTTGCTCACCTGCTAAAGTTCGTTAAAAACTGACGGTCAAAGCCTTGCGATGCTTTTTTGCAGTTTAGTTTTCTTTTCCAAGATTATGCAAGAAAGGAAAAACTTAGAAGGTCTAAAGTGCAAAAGATTCGTGAGGATCGCCGTTATCAAAGCCAAGGGCCGTCAACGGAGTCACACCATTTATTTCTCTGTTTTTAGTTCTCGAACATTTCTAGACTTAAACCCCATTTACGACTTTCAAGCCCTCGCTCGCTCCCAGCCCATGAGTAGCCCATAGCCCAAGGCGTCTCGATCCAATGGCCGAGATTTCTCCTCCGCATCCTTCGCCTATATAAAACCCCCAAACCCCTCTTTCTGTTTCTCGCCCCAAAATCTCTCCATCTTTCCCCTCGCGCAAAATCTCAGTGGAGAATTTCTTCGGAGCTCTTGAGCCATGGCGGATCACGCGGAGGAATCAAAGGGAGAATCTCTGATCGAGAAGATCGAGGAGAAGTTCCACAGCCACGATTCGTCATCGTCCTCATCGGACTCGGACAACGAGAAGCCTAAAAAATCCGAGAAGAAATCGGAGGAGGCGGGGTCGTCTTCGATCAAGAACAAGATCTGGCGCCTTTTCGGGAGGGAGAAGCCTGTCCACAAAGTTTTAGGCGGCGGCAAGCGTATGGATCGGATCTAAACCCTAACTTCATTTCTAATTTGTTTTTGAAAATTATTCTTTTTTATTTTTTTTAAAAAAAATTGTTTGATTAGATCGGATCGGGTGAGATTAGATTCGATTGTGCCCGTTTGAACTGAGATCTGTTGGTTGGTGAATAATTAGTCACTTTTCCATTACTTTTTGGAGTGGATGAAAGCTAACTTTGCATGGTAATCTTAGTTTGGTGATGATGAGGTTTGTTGATAGTGATTTGTGCTTTATTAGGTTATGATAACTAGCAACGCGTGAAGAAATAAAAATAAAAAGCAAGAATGATCTCTCGCTTGATTTTTTTTTATTTGTCAATTTTGGAAACTCCTGTATAGAAATAACAAATAAGTGATGGCTGCTGATCATGCTGTGGGAGCGAAACCTAGAAGCTTGTAAAATTCATCTTTCATGACCAAAATCCTGGGTGAAATTATTTTTTGAATAAGCATGTGCCATGTTAGTTGGATGCCGATCCTTGACAATTTTATGCCTAAACTGTTAATTAGCTTTGAATCATAGTTTTAAACCCCCGTATTATTTATTGCAGCTGCTGATGTGTTCCTATGGAGGAACAAGAAGATCTCCGCGAGTGTCCTGGGCGGGGCCACTGCCATCTGGGTCCTATTCGAGCTTCTCGAGTACCACTTGCTGACTCTGGTCTGCCACTGCCTCATACTCTTACTCGCAGTCCTCTTCCTTTGGTCAAATGCTACTACCTTCATCAACAAGTGAGAGTTCTTCGCATTTCCTTTCAGTAGTTCGGTGATATAAGATTCTGCATTACTTATACTGGTAACCTTTTTGCTTTCAGGTCTCCACCTCATATTCCTGAGGTGAGCATCCCTGAGGATCTGACTGTAAACGTTGCGCTGTCTCTGAGATATGAGATTAACCAGGGGTTTGCTGTTTTGAGGCAAATCGCATCTGGAAAGGATCTGAAGAAGTTCATCATTGTATGTTCATCTATGTAATGTTGTATTGTTGATATTTACTCGTGCTCCTGGCTATTGGTTGTGCTAATGATTCTTGCTTCTTGTTTTTTTCCCCTCCCTCAGGTGATTGCTGGGTTATGGCTGCTTTCTGTTGTTGGTAGCTGCTGCAATTTCTTGACCTTGTTCTACATAAGTAATGTTCTTTGACCTGTTTTATTTTTGCATAATCATCTTGAATCACTGTTTCTTTCGTCTAACAGTTGCTTGATTTGTCTTGGAACACAGCATTCGTCTTGCTTCACACGGTGCCTGTCCTGTATGAGAAGTACGAGGACAAAATCGATGCCTTTGGAGAGAAGGCAACCGCAGAATTCAAGAAGCATTATGCAGTGTTCAATGAGAAGTGCCTGAGCAAGATCCCAAGGGGACCATTGAAGGATAAGAAGCTGCAATAAGAAGGTAGAAGGTACTTTGTTGCTGTGTTGGTGTTAGAAGGCTTTGGCTTCTAAGTGTTATATTGTGTCTGTTCTGTTGCATGTCTTTTCTATTGTTATGTGATGCGAATGGTTTCTCTGTTTGCATGTAACTCTATTATGTTTAGTGGGTACGATTCCAAGATTTTGTGACATCGTAGCGAATAGATTCTATGTGCTTGTAAGTCTTCTAGCTGATTGCGGCTTTGCTGTCATTACATGCTTCCATTTTCACACCTCACTTGAGGGAAGTTTTGCTTCTACCCGAGTGCAACTTGCTTTTTAGCAAAGAAATATCGGAGGAACTAGGTGTTGTGTATTTGCTAATAAGGCGAAAGCTGAGGAGGACCTTATACATTATTATGTAGCATAATCATATTAATGAATCAGGGATATAAAGACATTTTTCTTACACATTCTCTGTGATGTACTGACTGAGAATAAACCTTCTTATAGGGGTTAGGTGCACCTAAGTATCATGATGTTCTACACTCTAGTGCTATTACCAGTTTCTATGTTATAGTGGAGTGACATTTTCGGCTAACTTTGATATTAGATGATCTGTTAGACATATATGAGCGCATTATATTCTAGTTATATTTCGACTAGTGATAGTGGATGACCAGTGTTGTCCATATTAGCTTGCAAGATCATCAACTGAAACATGTGAGTGTTTGTACTTGCTTTTGAGTGTATCTACTCAGTAAATGGATCAGGCCTGCGTGTTACAAAACTTATTAAGCTGCACAAACCAGCACTGTATTGTATTTTTTGCCCACAGATGATTAGTAAGTGTGCGAGTGAGCACAAGGTCGACATGTGGATGGTGCAAATTGGATACTTAGTTCTTGAATATTAGAGATGATGATGATGATAGTTATGGTATATATAGGCTTTAGTTTCAAAAGTGTTTTTGAAAAAACGAGCAATGATATTTGGTTGTCAGATGTATCAGGGAAAAAACCTGTTGCTATGCACGTATGTTGTTTTTCCACCTCGATACATGACGGAAATCAAACTTCACGCTTCACCTGGCCTATGTTTTTTTTTTGAGCTGAAAAGCAGAGAATAAATTTCCCTGCTCAAAATATATTCATATATGTACTGAAGAAGAAGTCTAAACATGTACAAACTTACAAAACTTACAAAAAAGACTGGGTTTGGAGGAACAAGAAGAAAGGAGTCGATAGGGAGCGGACCTTGTCGTCACCTATCATGACACTTCCCCCTTGTACCTACCTCACAGTAGGGAGAACCCCCCAGAAAAACAAAAGCAAACTAATCACTGGCTGAAAACAATCTACCGCCCATAAAAGCACAAAGGCGTCAAAAAGAACATAAAGGTTTAAAAATCCCAAAAAGAAGGAGAAGAGGAAACCAGTGCCACCAAGAGAAAGCTTGCATTCCTCAACTTTACCAACACCTGTTGATGATAGGGAACCTACTGAAGAAAAACAGCTGCACACCCCGATTGCCCCAAGCGACATCTTAATCAACCAGGAAGTTTTCATCCATGTCCGCACCTGCTTTTTTCTTCGCAATTTCTTGGAATTGTAACTTGAGAGCAGCTCTGCGGATCCTTCTTGTAAGTCTATCATCCTTGGAACCTGCCCATAAAAGAGTATATCTGGCAACGTTAGCAGCTATATTCACCTGGCCTATGTTACAGATGTTGGATGGGATTTTGTCGGTTACGAAATGTTTCCGTCGCCATTTAGAAAGCAACCCAACGGAATAGATCATCGACATTGACAATGAGAGCTAAAATTTACTTTGGAAGGAACAAAGTACACTGCCCATATGATAATCGTTGGACATAAACTTTCATCTAAATTGATGTTAGGACATTGATGATCACCTCTGTCCTGCTCATCATCAAAAAGTTTTTAAATTGATAGAAATTTCCGGGGGATCGCCTGTTGAGATTCAATATTTGTGGTGGTTATTTAAATTGATGATTTTTTGCTCTTTGAAATTTTATAAATAAGGACATGTGAGATGCATCGTATAGGTTCATACTTCCTTTTTCTTGTTGCTATTTATGAATTAGAGCCTAAAGTCCTCATTATGAACTAAAACTTGGCGAAACAGTTTCCTTCATGTTGTAAGCTTCACTTCCACTCTACCCACTCTTTTCGCTTTGTCGGTTGATGTTATATTATGCATGTTGCCATTGGCATAGATCAAAATTAGTGAGGGTTAAAGATGGTAATAATCTAGCTGGCTATATTGATTATTGCTCCTATCTTGGACCTCTGAATCTCGGTAGACTGACAGGGTCAATGCAAGCCGCGTGCGTGATATTTACGATGACTGGTAGGCTTGCTGATGAATCTTGGGGAAATTTTAGGTTTGTAATATGCACATTGATGGTTTTGGGTTAAGAGAAACATTTTTATTAAATGCAAGTCCGGGCAAAGGGATCACGGATCACCTATTATCAGGTAATGACATGCTAGGTGTTTGGGGAGCTTATTTTTTGGTAACATTTTAATATCTACTTATTTGGTAAAATATCAAATAAGTTAGCTTATAAGTCTTATTTTAAAAAGTTTGTATACCCCAGCTTTTGAACGTCTAACTTATCAGCTCATCTAAATGATAAGTTAGATTTAACTAAAAAAATTATTATTCTGTCCAAACAAATTTTATATCATTTTTATAATAAAAGCTAAAAGCCAGTAAAAGCTAAATAACTTATAAGCTATAAAGAATAAGCTCACCCAAAAATCCTCTGTTTGGTTAGTACATGGGAACTTATATTAATTTGTTCACTTCAGCATTTGAAATACAAGGGAATGGTGCTTTATTAAGCGGTTGTTATTATCATCCGAAGTCTTTTTACTCGAACTGGTCGGGTAAAGAACACGAATAAAGTACCGTGAGGGGAGGGAGGCTCCACAAACGTCTTTTAAGTGCGAGATCGCTGTTAACCGTACTTTACCATCTTCCGTTGATGGCGACTTCGCACCTAACCAGCGTCTCGACTGTGCGCGAGGGACAGGATAGGAAGGCAGTTAGCAGGTTTAGTAGTCTCTGGTCATCCTAAGCTTCACGATAGCTCCAAATAGAGGTGGTAAACAATCGAATCGAATCCAATACTAAGTTGTTCGTATCTGTATTTGTTTAAAATCATCGAATTCGAATGTGAACTCTAATATTCATATATCTAGTTTTTCGAATTCGAACTCGAATACTTGGTATTTGATAAATATTCATAAATATTCACGAATACTTATCGAATATCTATATTTATTCGCTAATGTACCGTTTGGCAAAGGGTTAAGTGAGGGGTTAAGGAGACTTAACCCCTTCTTAACCTGCCAAACACAACAAATGTATATAAGGATTAAAATGAGTTAACCCTCCATAAATTGCCAAACATAAAAAATATAGAAGGGTTAAGTTAACCCCTCTAGATGGGTTAAAATGAGTTAACCCCTCAAAATGAGGGGTTTACTAATACTCCTATTTAGATGGAATAAGAGTTAACCCTTCTAATTATAAAGAAAATAGTCAAAATCATTGTTATTCCCAAACACTAAAACTGATCATAAGGGCTAAAATAAAAATTATTTAACGGGTTAATAATTTAGTCATTCGGATTATCAAATGGGCTAAGTACATTAATCATTCTCTTTAACCATTCTTCATTAACCCTTTGCCAAATGGGGCAAGAATTTGATTTTTAAATAGTATTGGAATTCATAAATAAAATTTATTCCTTTATAATATATGATGTAATATATTTAAATCAAAATTTTAATTAGAAAATAGATTTAAGATTATTTAAGTCTTAAAATCAGTATATAAAACTCAAGTAGAAATGGTATGTGGGTTAAAAATATGACATCATATGTGCAATAATACAAGTAATAAGCTGTGATTAAATTTTAAACGGATATTTAATAGACAAACGAATTAAATATACATCTGGTTAAATTATATTCGTTAGTAAACTCGAATACTAAAAAATATTTGTTTAGTGGTAAACGAGCTATCGAGTCGAATATAACCGAATACTTATTCGAACAATTATCGAACTATTTGTTAATTATTTGGTTCATTACCACCCCTAGCTACAAACTCCTCCATATATGAGAAGTCTGAACTAATATGTAGTTGTCTGGGATGAATTGTTGCTGGATCAAATTACTCAAAGTTTTGCAACTAACGCAAACCCTTGAACCCAATCTTTTAGTTGGCTGTATTTTGTAAGTGGTTTTGACCATATGGGCTAAATCTGTGACGCGACCCATTAAGAATCCGACCCTGTTGTTGGAAATATCTCACATTCTGGGATTTCTTCCGTTGGAGATCGGGTCTTACGAAGAGAATGGTTTAGAGAGATAGTGGCAGATTTTTTGGGGACGCAGGTGGAGAGGGAACGCCCATAAATAGGGTTGAGCATATTCGGTTCGGGTCGGTTTTAAACCCAATCCGCATCCAATCCGAATTTTTTGAATTCTCAAAACTCTCATCCATATCCAGATTTTTTTTCCCCTTCATCCGAATATTCGGCCCAACCGAAATTCGGATCGGTTTCGGTTTTGGGCCGAATTAATTCCATTTCACAAAAATATGCCCACACCTGAGATCATTGCCTATTAATTTCTGATGAAGTATCATTATGTCCATTTTGTCTACTTAATTTCCCCCCCAAACAATGAAATGTGGAGCTTGTTTGAAGTAACATCATTGCCACAGTTAACAAAAAAACTGAAATCAGTGAAATGAGCGCAAACCATATCAACAAGTACATACCATACCATAATAATAAACTCATTAAAGAGTTACTTAGTTACAAAACATGCAAATAATCCAGAAATAATTAAAGAGTTACTTAGTTACAAACCATGCAAATAGTCCTGGGATCAGCGGTGTTGTGGTGTAGGACTGGGAGAAATGGAGTTAGGGTTAGGGATTTTTCAGTATTTATATTAGAAAATTCGGTTCGGTTTTTTCGGGCGGTCAGGGTTTCAAACCGGATCCAGACCGGTTTAATTCGGTTCGGGCGGTTTAAAGTCTTCTTCTCATCCATTAAATCCGGTTCGGTTAACCGGCCCGCTTTTTCGAGCGGTTTTTTCGGTTTTTGCCCACCCCTACCCATAAATAGAGAGGAGTTCTTCTCCTCTGGAACATAGAACAATCTCCATCATAGTCCCAAAAGAAATACTCTCTCGTTCCTTCATTGGTATCAGAGTCTTATACCCTTCGATTCCATTAAAAAATTTCGCAGATCCCGCACCTCCTGCGCCTAACTCCCGTCGCCTGAGATCCTCAACCGACCACACCTCCTCCACCTGCGATTCAATCGCCTCCGGAGCCCGCCACATTGATCCCCAAACCCTAGCCTCCTTCCCACCGCCAGCACTCCTGTGGAGCTCTGTCGACCCGCGTCTTCTTCTGACCTCCGAAATCGCCCTCCCTTTCCTCTGATCTCCATTGACCCGTGCCAGCAATCGCCACCGACTCGTTCACTGACTCGCCCTCCAACTCACGTTGACCCGCGTCGCACCCGTACGCAGCCGCCCTCCGGCTAGACTCATCCCTCCAATTTTTTCTCTCCTCACTGTAAGTATCAAACTTCTGTTGGAGGCATCAATTCTTTTTCATCCCATTGTTTTGTGTTCTTGTGGGGATTTAATTTTTTTTGTTTAAATCTGGGTCTGCTTGAAAACGGAAAAGGGGTCTGTTAAAAAGGGAAATAAATAATTTTTTTTGGCCGAATTTATATGGTTATAGTAGTATTTTATAATTAGCTAGTATATTTATACAAGGATCCTCAATTTGCAGTTTTCATTAAATTGCTACAGTTGAAAATTCTGTTTTTTAATATCTGATTTAACCTTAATAATACTTACCATTTATTTGCTTCTTGTAATTAACAGTTTATTAATCTTGTATATATAGTTAATCTTGTTGTGATCAAATTTTTTAATATATCTTATCTTTATATTTCATTATTATAGTTACAGTATAACTTTTAACTTTTTTATTTATAGTTGTTTTAGTATCAATTAATTAAGTTAGTTTTATATATTTTTTAATAAGTTAATTTTATATTTTTTTTAATAAGTTAGTTTTATATTTTAGCAATCTGAAATCCATTCCGTTTGAAATATCATATAGTTTTATCATCGTCATGGCTAGTAAATTGATTGCATCTAAACTGGCAAAAATAGAACGTTCTTAATGGTTCCAACTATGACATGTGTCATAGAAAAATTAAGTACAGACTTATCCATGACAATCTAGATAGTGTTCTAGATGTTTCTGCACCAACTCTTGGTGATGATCCCACTGACGATCAGAAAAGAGAGCTTGATCAGTGGCAACTTAAGGACAACAAGGCTAAAAGCCTGATGTTAATGTTCATGGAAGATAGTTTAATCAAAATTTTTGAAAACTATAATACGGCTTAGGAAATGTGGCTTGCAGTTAAGGAGAAGTATGACACTACTTCTAAGGTGAACATACATCTCTTAATGCATAGATTCAATTCATGCTGTATGCAAGAATGTGACAATGTTACTGAACATGTGAACAAGATGATTGTCATGGCTAAGGACCTAGCTTCAGGAAGATCTAAAATTCCTAAGAAATTGTAGGTGGCTAAGAAATTGTAGGTGGCAACTATTTTGAATAGCCTGCCACCGTCATTAAATATGGCCGCCACAACGAAACCATTTGTAGACGGTAAAAAATACCTCTATGGGTCTACAGGGAATTTGTCTACGAGAAGAGTTCGCACGCCCAGTTCTCTGACACGGACCTAAACCGCGTAGACGTCGACTGTGCTCAAATCCAGGTTCGCCTAACAGTCGACTCGCCAGCATGAGTCAGGAGCGATCAGGATGGCGGAAATTTGCTCTTCGCTCAACTCGCCTGCCCGAGTTCGGAGTCGAATCC